TATTCTATACATATATGCATAGATATACATATATATATATGTATATATATATATATATATGTATATATATATATATATATGTATATATATATATATATGTATATATGTATATATAGCAACGTTTGAACAACTTATCATTCGTGTGCTTTATTTCACAATCATTCGATGTTATTCTGCAACGACGCTTTTCCTCTGTTCAAATTTATACATCGGAATTCGAGTATGAATACAATTTTACTTAAAAACAACAGGTGCACATCCATTATCATAAGGAAAATCAAAACCAAGCAACAACAACAACAACAACATACCTTGCGACCAGATGAATCGCCTGGACCCGGAGTCGATGCCATATCCGGTTCCAGACATATAAAGGAGCTGTACTCCACCTCGCGACGCCTTTTTGTTGCTTTCGGTCTGCGAATCACGGTAGGAGGAGGAGAAGGTGTGCGACTCGTCAGGTCGCTTCCTAACTTCCTAACTTCCGGAACACACGTAGGTTTATCTCGCTCCCTTATACTAGTAGAGACACAGAGAGAGAGACAGACAGAAAAAGAAAGAAAGAGATTCGAAACAGTTTTACTTATAAACAACTTTATAAAGCACGACATACTTATTAGGACAAAAAAACATTTATCATTGTTATCATTTCCCTGGGAGTTCCAAGTGGAAAGCACAGCTTGAAACGAGACACTCGGTATGCAAAAGTCAGCCATTCCAAAGACAAAAGGATAGTCAGGAGCATGCTTCTATATCTTAATGAGCACTTTTATCGGAAAAAAATTATCCTTAATGAAAATTACTTGAAACCCTTCCGTCTTCATAAGGAGTAATAATTACTTGTTTCCACAACCGCAGATGACTATAGTTTGACTACCAGTTTGCCTCAGAACAGTAAAATGTAGCTAAATACAATTCTTCTTGTCAGTGAATAACGTATTTCACATACACATCTACTTCATCCCCCATCCTGTGGGAACACACAGCTCTCGTCATATTCCCCACATCGAGGCTTCGTTCGATTTCCTTGCAACGGCAGTCACACCAAAAACAACCAGCTGATCTTACAGTCAAGACATACGCCACAGCAACTAAAACTAACACAACTAAATTATCCACGCGTACATCAAATACAGGCAATGGTAAAGATTATTGATCCATACCATCCATAAGCGACTCAATGACTTTGAGGCGCCCAATCAGAGTTTGCGTGAGTTATGATGAGGTCATAATGGAGAAATTGAGCTTCTTACTAATAACCAATGCTGTTCAAGATCTATGGAGCATATGCAATCCGGGAAAATGCCTAGAACCAAATCCTAACCCTAGCAGCTATAAATCTCATCTCGTAACCCTAGCTGCTGCACGTAAGTCGTAGTCATTTCTATGGATACGCACATTCCTATTTGGGAATGGCAGTTATTCTCGAGGCATCTCAAATCACGGAACCTGTTCAACATTCTTACACTTCTTCAAACTTTCTTTCATGAACGTAATTTCTTCACACTGTATATTTATGAATTATTGAGTCTACTACTACTTTCTTCAACGCCCTTTAATCAAGGGTAGAGAGAAATACTGCATGTGCTACAGTATCCTAATTCTATCGGCTATTCCCATCTGTAACAATGACTAATTTAACTTTCATTTCTACTGTGTGTCTAGGTTTGCTTCAGAAGCATTGGATTCTCCGCGTTATTTCCGAACATCTAGATTCCGGTTATCATGAGAGAAGTGTGAGACGTGGTTTTCTTCAGCCCAGACTGTTAATAATGATGACAGAGTTAAGAGAAGGTGGAACACCAAACTGCTCAGTGCTATCGATAGTAACAGGAAAACAAGATGAAGATGGACGATGATGATGTTGATGATTCATATCCTTATGAAAGTGTGTGAGTGGTTACAACCTGCCTGCCGGTTGCACACACCAAACTGATTCTCAACCGAAAACTTTCCGAAAACCATACAGCAGTTCCAATTCGCTACCCTCCATATATATATACATATGGAGTATCTGCGCCATTGTCTTCCTACTCTTATTGCCTATTTACTCTTTGAATTTACCAGTATTCACTATTTTGAGGAGAGTTATATGACATATTTATATATATAGATATATATACACATATATATATATATATAGGCTCGTAAGTGTTTCACCCATATTTGTATTCTAGCAAGATAGTAAAAGCTTTCCAGTAGATATCGATGCGTTCGGTGACAAATGCCTAGTCGACTTTAACTGGAACTTTACATTCTCCTAGAATGAATATCAGATTAGGTCAGTATAAGAAGACAACAGTTAGTTATTGCAATCACTATTTATAATTAACTAAAGGAAAGTCTTTCATCTGTTATGTGGAGGGGTAACTACACTACCTCTGTGCAAACAATGGGTAGCTGACTCCTACTCACTTACTTCTCACTTCTGAAAGACACTTAATTAAAGCACAAGGAAGTCGAAACTATAAAATAAACTATCGTAACGCATAACACATAAATCAGCATATCACTCAAAATCAACAATTCAAAAAACTTACGTATTTGAAGTGGTCCTCTCCTAAAACACAACAATTATAATAACAATACAGAATTGATACTGCAGAATAAATGTAACACTAGTTCTCACACATATTTTCATTCAAACCAAAAACTTAACACCTTCAGAACACAGATAGGTAACAAGACAGTCACAGTGTTCCAAATAACTTGAACAAAAATCTCAGCATGTTCGGTAAGCCCAATAAATCGTAGAAACAAAAGTCTATCGAAAACACTACACTGAGGATAACTTTTAACATTACCATCTCTAACAGCAGACATATTCTATACATATATGCATAGATATACATATATATATATATATGTATATATATACATATGTATATATAGCAACGTTTGAACAACTTATCATTCGTGTGCTTTATTTCACAATCATTCGATGTTATTCTGCAACGACGCTTTTCCTCTGTTCAAATTTATACATCGGAATTCGAGTATGAATACAATTTTACTTAAAAACAACAGGTGCACATCCATTATCATAAGGAAAATTAAAACCAAGCAACAACAACAACAACAACATACCTTGCGACCAGATGAATCGCCTGGACCCGGAGTCGATGCCATATCCGGTTCCAGACATATAAAGGAGCTGTACTCCACCTCGCGACGCCTTTTTGTTGCTTTCGGTCTGCGAATCACGGTAGGAGGAGGAGAAGGTGTGCGACTCGTCAGGTCGCTTCCTAACTTCCTAACTTCCGGAACACACGTAGGTTTATCTCGCTCCCTTATACTAGTAGAGACACACAGAGAGAGACAGACAGAAAAAGAAAGAAAGAGATTCGAAACAGTTTTACTTATAAACAACTTTATAAAGCACGACATACTTATTAGGACAAAAAAACATTTATCATTGTTATCATTTCCCTGGGAGTTCCAAGTGGAAAGCACAGCTTGAAACGAGACACTCGGTATGCAAAAGTCAGCCATTCCAAAGACAAAAGGATAGTCAGGAGCATGCTTCTATATCTTAATGAGCACTTTTATCGGAAAAAAATTATCCTTAATGAAAATTACTTGAAACCCTTCCGTCTTCATAAGGAGTAATAATTACTTGTTTCCACAACCGCAGATGACTATAGTTTGACTACCAGTTTGCCTCAGAACAGTAAAATGTAGCTAAATACAATTCTTCTTGTCAGTGAATAACGTATTTCACATACACATCTACTTCATCCCCCATCCTGTGGGAACACACAGCTCTCGTCATATTCCCCACATCGAGGCTTCGTTCGATTTCCTTGCAACGGCAGTCACACCAAAAACAACCAGCTGATCTTACAGTCAAGACATACGCCACAGCAACTAAAACTAACACAACTAAATTATCCACGCGTACATCAAATACAGGCAATGGTAAAGATTATTGATCCATACCATCCATAAGCGACTCAATGACTTTGAGGCGCCCAATCAGGGTTTGCGTGAGTTATGATGAGGTCATAATGGAGAAATTGAGCTTCTTACTAATAACCAATGCTGTTCAAGATCTATGGAGCATATGCAATCCGGGAAAATGCCTAGAACCAAATCCTAACCCTAGCAGCTATAAATCTCATCTCGTAACCCTAGCTGCTGCACGTAAGTCGTAGTCATTTCTATGGATACGCACATTCCTATTTGGGAATGGCAGTTATTCTCGAGGCATCTCAAATCACGGAACCTGTTCAACATTCTTACACTTCTTCAAACTTTCTTTCATGAACGTAATTTCTTCACACTGTATATTTATGAATTATTGAGTCTACTACTACTTTCTTCAACGCCCTTTAATCAAGGGTAGAGAGAAATACTGCATGTGCTACAGTATCCTAATTCTATCGGCTATTCCCATCTGTAACAATGACTAATTTAACTTTCATTTCTACTGTGTGTCTAGGTTTGCTTCAGAAGCATTGGATTCTCCGCGTTATTTCCGAACATCTAGATTCCGGTTATCATGAGAGAAGTGTGAGACGTGGTTTTCTTCAGCCCAGACTGTTAATAATGATGACAGAGTTAAGAGAAGGTGGAACACCAAACTGCTCAGTGCTATCGATAGTAACAGGAAAACAAGATGAAGATGGACGATGATGATGTTGATGATTCATATCCTTATGAAAGTGTGTGAGTGGTTACAACCTGCCTGCCGGTTGCACACACCAAACTGATTCTCAACCGAAAACTTTCCGAAAACCATACAGCAGTTCCAATTCGCTACCCTCCATATATATATACATATGGAGTATCTGCGCCATTGTCTTCCTACTCTTATTGCCTATTTACTCTTTGAATTTACCAGTATTCACTATTTTGAGGAGAGTTATATGACATATTTATATATATAGATATATATACACATATATATATATATATAGGCTCGTAAGTGTTTCACCCATATTTGTATTCTAGCAAGATAGTAAAAGCTTTCCAGTAGATATCGATGCGTTCGGTGACAAATGCCTAGTCGACTTTAACTGGAACTTTACATTCTCCTAGAATGAATATCAGATTAGGTCAGTATAAGAAGACAACAGTTAGTTATTGCAATCACTATTTATAATTAACTAAAGGAAAGTCTTTCATCTGTTATGTGGAGGGGTAACTACACTACCTCTGTGCAAACAATGGGTAGCTGACTCCTACTCACTTACTTCTCACTTCTGAAAGACAATTAAAGCACAAGGAAGTCGAAACTATAAAATAAACTATCGTAACGCATAACACATAAATCAGCATATCACTCAAAATCAACAACTCAAAAAACTTACGTATTTGAAGTGGTCCTCTCCTAAAACACAACAATTATAATAACAATACAGAATTGATACTGCAGAATAAATGTAACACTAGTTCTCACACATATTTTCATTCAAACCAAAAACTTAACACCTTCAGAACACAGATAGGTAACAAGACAGTCACAGTGTTCCAAATAACTTGAACAAAAATCTCAGCATGTTCGGTAAGCCCAATAAATCGTAGAAACAAAAGTCTATCGAAAACACTACACTGAGGATAACTTTTAACATTACCATCTCTAACAGCAGACATATTCTATACATATATGCATAGATATACATATATATATATATATGTATATATATATATATGTATATATATATATATATATGTATATATATATATATGTATATATAGCAACGTTTGAACAACTTATCATTCGTGTGCTTTATTTCACAATCATTCGATGTTATTCTGCAACGACGCTTTTCCTCTGTTCAAATTTATACATCGGAATTCGAGTATGAATACAATTTTACTTAAAAACAACAGGTGCACATCCATTATCATAAGGAAAATCAAAACCAAGCAACAACAACAACAACAACAACATACCTTGCGACCAGATGAATCGCCTGGACCCGGAGTCGATGCCATATCCGGTTCCAGACATATAAAGGAGCTGTACTCCACCTCGCGACGCCTTTTTGTTGCTTTCGGTCTGCGAATCACGGTAGGAGGAGGAGAAGGTGTTCGACTTATCACGTTGCTTCGTAACTTCCTAAATTCCGGAACACTCGTATACTCATCTCGCTCCCTTATACTAGTAGAGACACACAGAGAGAGACAGATAGAAAAAGAAAGAAAGAGATTCGAAACAGTTTTACTTATAAACAACTTTATAAAGCACGACATACTTATTAGGACAAAAAAACATTTATCATTGTTATCATTTCCCTGGGAGTTCCAAGTGGAAAGCACAGCTTGAAACGAGACACTCGGTATGCAAAAGTCAGCCATTCCAAAGACAAAAGGATAGTCAGGAGCATGCTTCTATATCTTAATGAGCACTTTTATCGGAAAAAAATTATCCTTAATGAAAATTACTTGAAACCCTTCCGTCTTCATTAGGAGTAATAATTACTTGTTTCCACAACCGCAGATGACTATAGTTTGACTACCAGTTTGCCTCAGAACAGTAAAATGTAGCTAAATACAATTCTTCTTCTCAGTGAATAGGGAATCATCGCTCACTTGAAATTTAGAACTTCTGTGTGTATTTCGTGTGTGTACTCAACTCAAATAATCTGTGACATATCTACCTATAATCACCTTAGGCGAATACAAGGGTTTGTTGCATAAATCGTGCAGTTCCGAGATACAAATCAGAGTCCACCTGACAGTAGTATCCTAACCTCTGTGACTTCAGCTGATACAGAACAGAGTCAATCCCACTGTCTGAGATGCACTTCAACCTTGTAATGGTTATTCTAACTTTAATCCCACATAGTCTTACTTAACTTGCTTTATTTTTATTTTTTCACTATGGTGCCGCTTTTCATCGTCATTTGCATCTCGGACTCCTTTTGTCACCACCTACATGGCGCAAAGTGGAAAAGTATTCAAAGTTGAATCCGTGTGTGAGAATATTGCCACCAGAGACATTCATCTCATTACATTAGGATCACAGAAAATACACCAGCGCACATGCTACAAAACAGGACTTACCAAGCAGTGCCAGAATTTCTAAGAGTCAAGGTATGTTTTTCAGGAGTCCAGTCAGCAAAACTGCGACTATCTAACTCGTATGTGAAACACTTAAGACCGGCTTCTGTACCCGTAACCAAAGACCTGTTCACAAACGACTGTCCAGGTGGAGTTCGTGGGATTTTGTCTCTGCTTTTAAAGGGATCCATCGGTCACAAGCAGTCTATAAGGAGATAATCAAAAGCACTCAATCACAACAGCAAGACTACCAAAAACATAAGTGTGTTGGTGAAACTGTTTAGTCAGGCATAATCACACTCAACTTATGGAGGGAAAACACGGATAAGTTAATACGTCTAGAAGATTTTCGTACAGATTTCTATGTACCCTGAACATAATATGGGATTCTTTGGGAAACAATTGAAGATACAATTGGCTGCAAGACTAGAACGCAACAACGCAACGCTCTCGTAAATGTATTCACTGAGATGATCATAAATCTCATTCTGGTTCTCCAATCAATATTCAGTATTCTGTTCTTCGATCCGTCCACTAAACAGGTACCTGTTTCATATATCTTTACCTAAACGAAAATTTTCTATCCAGTTATACATACTAGTATGTAGGATTTTAATGATAGCCATAAAGCTATCATTAAAATCCTAACAAATGTACTCCAGCAGAAATAGTTGGACAACTTACCACAACCACGTGAGCAGTTCACCACAGATAGTTTACTGGCGGATTCTGAGGCTATCCTTGCGGTTTCGGTTTAAAAAAACAAACAAATGATTCGACATCACATTCACTTCATTCCCACCATATTTTAAGTATTCCAATATTGGTGTACTTATAGTAGCTTAAATTTATTGAAATATGCATATTTCCAAGAAATCATGATTCATCACATCTTTGAACACGACGGACACCCTCTTCGTCAAACGTTCCTTATTGTAAGCCCGGTCGTCAAGCAAGCGTCTGAAACAGAGAGCGAAGCCCACGTTGACAGGTACCGTGTGCTAGTGAGAACGAAGAATCAAGGTCAAGGTTTGTATATTTGCAACCAATCATAATACAGTTGTGTGAGAGAGGAAGGCTCTTCCCATTGGTCACGCATTGCATCGTCTTGGGCGACCAATCCCTGCACGCTACGTAGCCAACCTGAAACTAGACAAGCATAGTTTAACCATTGGAAAACCTCCGAACTTGCCATGCCTTACACTACCCGGTCTCCCATAGATGCACTGCCCGCAGTGCTAGGTGACTGTGTCCGCAGGACTTGCCTGAACTAAGGCGTTTCGCCGGAAAGGTTTCAATCTGTTGAAATATATGACTAGATTATGAGCGGAATGGGTTTCCTCGATCATACAGGTGCAGCCACTAAGCATCTCCCCTACAGCAAAATGTCCTTCCCAGCGTTTATGGAATTTGAGAGTCTTCTTTTTAAGTGGCGCCTCGTTTAGTAGCATTACCTCGTCTCCTGGTCCACAGGTGATCCATGTGCTTTCCTACCATAGTATTCTTTCTGGTACCTCTGGTTTGTTCGAAGTCTATCCCTAGTCATTTGGTGTACCTTGTTCGGGTTTCGTCTCAGTCTGATTACGTGTTCTGATGCAGTCAGTGTGTTACCTCCTAGTGCGTTTGAGGTCGGATCAATTGGCAGCCAGAGTTCTCTTTCGGTTAGTGCTTGAGGCGTAGCTTTGTGAATGCTTGCTTTGTACGCCATTAAGCACTGTGAAAGTGATGGGTCCCACTCAATAGAGTTGTTTCGGTCTACAAATTGTAGCGGTAAATAATTCCCCAAAATTATTAACCACAGCAATCATCACTCAACATTGGATGCTGACCATCACTGTTTAAGTCGACTTGTTTAGCTGAAGGCTTACGGTCAAGCATCCCCGCCATTTGGTACTCCGTCGTGTCACGTGCGTGCACGATTCCTAGCTAGCTAAGCATTCACCTCTACCCGCGATTTTGTCCCGAGATATACTACGTACTTTGGACGACAAAATCTGGTCTTTTGCTTTATCTTTGGTGCTCGAAGAACGAACACTATAGAAGTTGTTGGTATAAGATCTTGCGTTAGTATAATCCGTACAACTCGCGAACGTCGACACCTGCAACCTCTAAACTGGTGAGCGCGACCACGAACTACATCTTCAATTCACACGCAGATAATCCCGGTGAGTTCGTTCCTTTTTGTGTTTATTCTTGTACTCTTTTGTAATCGGCATATATTTCGTCATGAGTGACCCTAGCTCCAAGGTTATTCGGATTCGCTCAACCACCATAACAATCCAGCTAGTACCATATTGGCCAGATAATGCTGAAACGTGGTTTCAGATTGCTGAGTCCGATTTTTGTGAACATGGCATAACCGAACAACGTTCACAGTTCCTTGCAGTTATTCACGCCCTACCGCGGGAATTCAGCAAGTGCGTAACTCTGCAGATGTCGTGTCCAGAGGTAAGTAACCCCTACGAGCTGCTCAAAGCATCCCTCCTCAAGAGAAACCTTCTCACGGATTGACAACGTCTGGATGAGTTATTTCGTAACATCGAGTTAGGGGATCAGTCAGCCGTGAGCATGCTGGCAAGAATGAAAGAGATCATTGGCCAAAGTCAGTTCGATGAAGGACTGTTCAGAGAACTATTTTTATCCAAACTGCCACAGTCAGTTCACACTGTACTTGTGACACTTCAGGGTGTTCTCATGGATGACTTAGCTGTCTCTGCAGATAGAACTCTAGAGATAACGAAACGGCCAGTTACCGAAGTATACTCTGTTACCGAACAGACTTCGAGGAAGGATTCTGCAATGATAGAGTTAATCAACTCCGTCCATCAGATGCTTAGGTCAAACAAGCCTAGCAATTCCTCCTATCGTCGTTCTAAATCCCACCAACGGCTAAACGCACGTGGACGATCTAAGTCCAACACACGTTCTCTCAAAAATCCTGACTGGTGTTGGTATCACAACACCTATGGCAAGGAAGCGAAATGTTGTCGAAAACCTTGTGATTTCGGCAAAGCCAATATCGAATCGATTCCACACATGTATATAAATGAAGGAAAGAAGTTGTGTGAGTAACTTGATATGATTATGAGCAATAGTTTGTGCTCGAAACGTCATCAGTTAATATAACTGAACAACACTGTGTCATATATCAAAATAAAATCTTAACCATTATGGAGTTATACTCCACCACAGTGCCCAAGTTTTATACTTATATCAATAATACATATAGCCTGAAGCAGTACCCATCAAGGATATATCTGCTGAAACTGTCGCACGCGTGTCTGTAGACAGATGGATCGCAAACTTTGGATGCCCATCTTCCATAACAACTGATCGTGGGCGGTAATTCGAAAGCGGTTTATTCTTCGCTTTGACTAAAATCCTTGGTTGCATGCGTTTTCGAACAACTGCCTACCATCCTCAAGCTAATGGTATGGTAGAACGTCTACACAGGCAGTTGAAAGCTGGTTTATCAGCTGCAAATAACACCCATTGGACTGAATCCCTTCCGTTAGTTCTCCTAGGGATTCGAAGCGCCTTAAAAACCGATGTTGGTTGTACTACGGCTGAGCTAGTATATGGCACGACACTACGACTGCCAGGTGAGTTTGTTTCTCCCTCGAGCTTCACACCAGCTGTAGATCACACCTCATACGTCAGTAGGCTTACAAACGCAATGCGTTCAGTTAAACCTGCTCCCCTCCGACCACAGTCCATTGATGTTTTCGTCCACCCCTGTTTAAAAACTTCTTCACACGTATTTGTTCGTCGCGACTCTGTGCGTTGCCCTCTAGAACCCCCATATGACGGACCATATAAAGTAATTAAACGTACGGATAAATTCTTCGTCTTAGACAAGAAAGGCCACGAAGACACCGTCAGTATCGACCGTTTGAAGCCAGCTTACTTGGAAGGTAATCCTATTAGCCTAGAGCTAAACGTACCCCATAATCCACAAGTAATTGAATCTCCTTTAGTCTTCGAAGAGCTCCCTAGCACGGCGAAAGCCACCGAAACTTCGGTCGATCACTCTAAGAAAAAGCGTTCTGGACGTCACGTCAGATTCCCAGAATACCTTCACACTTATTTCACATAACTGAGTGGCGCGTTTCACCCAACTCATTCGATTGTGTTATTAATCATTATTTATCTTCAGACACATCATTATTTTATGTAGCATCACTTAACACAAGTAAACGATTTTTTTCCTGTAACCGTACATTAAACATGCACTTAGAAAAAAATTAAATTAGATGTATATATATTTTCCGATATTTTGAACTTTACATTATTTTACTGTATAGTCGATGCACGTCATTTTTTGTAAAAAACGCTTATTTGGTACATTTTCCTTGACAAGGTTCTCAGCATTCTTGTTTTCTTTTCCAGGTGCGACGGGCACTGGACAGGAAACAAACGAAGCACGGGATCCAACGAAAAACATCGAGGAAGCTATGTACAGACACCCTATTAGCATGGGCAGACAGACCAGCAGGCTATCAATTAAGCCGCTTCGAAGATTTTTTGCACACATCAGGGAACCATCGAGATTTTTGTACATCCAACTGCTCATGTCTTAGGGTCCTCACAAACCCACTAGGGGGGAGTGAGCTGTAGCGGTAAATAATTCCCAAAAGTTATTGACCACAGCAATCATCACTCAACATTGGATGCTGATCCTCACTTGTTTGAGTCGACTTGTTTAGCTGAAGGCTTACGGTCAAGCATCCCCGCCATTTGGTACTCCGTCGTGTCACGTGCGTGCACGATTCCTAGCTAGCTAAGCATTCACCTCTACCCGCGATTTTGTCCCGAGATATACTACGTACTTTGGACGACAAAATCTGGTCTTTTGCTTTATCTTTGGTGCTCGAAGAACGAACACTATAGAAGTTGTTGGTATAAGATCTTGCGTTAGTATAATCCGTACAACTCGCGAACGTTGATACCTGCATCCTTCAAAATATATAAGAGGTTTTCTTGACAATTCATCTGCACTCTCATGAGTTTTTCCAGCTTTATACTTGCATTCAAAGTCATACCCTAGCAGGTGTTCTTGCCATGTAGCAATCTGACTTTCAGCTTCTTTGAAAATATGCAGCTAACTAAAGTTTTTGCGATCTGTCCATACTACGAAATGTCAACCGAGGAGGTATGGCCTGAAGTGCTCGAATTGCATAGGCACCTTTCTACCCCATCTGCAGCTTTTTGAGTTAGAACAGCCCCGATACCAGTGGCGCTGGTGTCTGTGTCTAGGATGAAAGGCGCTGCCTGGTCAGAAACGTTGGGATGTGCTAGGATGGGAGGGCTATATAAGCAGTCTTTAAGTCTCCCGACGACTTCAGTAGCTGATGCTCTCCAACTGTAATCCCTCTTCTTAAGAATGTTGAATAGTGGAGCTGCAATTGGAGAAAAGTTAGTCACAAAACGTCTATAATACGAAGCTAACCCTAAAATTTATGTAACTCGGGAGCTGAGTTTGAGAGCGGCCAGTCTTTATCTTCTTCAACTTTTCCTGCATCACGTTTAATGCCATTGGCTGAAACAATGTGACCTAGGAAACACACTACTTTCCTGAAAAATTGGCATTTTGTTGAGTTTAATTTTAACCGGACCGTCGGCACTCGTTCCAGTACTTTGGAAGTATCACTAATTAAATACCCGCGCGCTTCGTGTAGGACGTTACAATCTCACCATATAACGTGGAAATAATTTTTCGCATTCTGGAATATCGTGGTCTATATTTGACTACCACATAATTATAGCTGATATTGCTTGCCCCTCCGGTAGCTAAATATCCAAATTTATCACCTCCAGAATACCGTTTGGATCCGGTGAAATTCGTGTTAATAAAGAGCAATCTGTCACAAAAGAACTATAGAGAAGTCCTCAGTTTTGTGGTTTATAATTATCAGAGTTAACTCGTTTGATAGTGGTCTATTTTTGTTTGTACTTCATACCTGTTTATTGTTGTTTTTATCTATTTAGATAATATAACAGTATT